GGTACACTTCGATGGTGCACTAGTAGTAAACGTTTTCACCAATCAAGAAAGACATTAATTATCTTTTGGTGATGGTTAGTGATGAGAAAATCCAACGAACACCTTTATTGGACAGCTATGTAAGATCTAACAGTCCAAGGGAGCATGAAGCGGTGGGCAATGAGCAATGGACACTGGGCACGCCACGCGCACCGGTCCCCTTTCCCCCACTACGACGTGTTCAGGCGGTCAAGGTTTTCCACCACAATATCCTGGTCCCAATAAAATCATTCCGTAAACCTAATTGCGTTTGCCTTTTCTTCAACATTGCCGTATATCACAGGTACGTAGCATGTCGAGACACCTTTCCATCTCTTTTCTAATTTACGTTTTATTGTACTGCCCAAATGTTCCATCCCTGTCCTGCTGCTCTCAAAACGATTTTCTGCATATGATTTAGGTATTAAAGTTTCTAAGGACGGCCATGTAATGACAATATAATTTCTATTATAGATCAAAATATCAACCACAGAAGCACTGTTTTAAGCCCTCCCCCTCAGGGTAATTTGAAATGATGTCTTGCTTATACTTTGTCCAACATGTGAGCACGCTGATGTTGTACTCCCTCATTCTTCATGTGCCCTAGTATTGAGTTGCACATGACTATGTCTCTGACTCTCTACGCTTAGAGGCTAAATGTGCTGTCACTTATGCTTTATAATTTAGCATTTCTATTTCATCAAAATTATATATACATGCATGCTTCTTTGTGACGCTTTAATCTATGATTTTTTTGGAGTTTGATCCAATTTAATGTGCATGTTTGTCCCTTGAGGGGCATGCTAATAATTAAGTGTACATTTAAGTTTGAAGCAGAACAAAACAGGAAATATTTCAAAAAAAAAGAAAAAACCTTTTCTCTTGAGAATATTGCAAAACTTTTAAGTCTAAATTAATATCCTTCAACACCTGGTCACTTAGGCTAACTGATTTTTTTTAAAAAATAAACTCTATATATGTATATATATTAGGAACGAGTATAAACTAGCTATAAAGGGCACTCTAATTCATTATACAAGAGATAATATTAAAGGAGCTAATAGTTTAGATAACAACAAAATACAAATAAAGCAAGCATTCCATGATTCCTATCACCTTCCAAAAGCAAGCTACCAACCCCATTTAGAAGTATCAGTCCCGGAGGAAATTAATTATTGCATAGTTAAAGATGGAGCTGACTGATTGAGAAGTACACCTCCCTCAACTATGAGCTGGGTTGAAATCCCCTTCCTTCAGATTTGTAATTTTCAAAAAATAATAATAATAATAATAATATATCTTTAAAAGCACATTCCAATTTGCATATTCTTCACTAGGATTGAAGTGATAGTTGCATCCGACTAACAAAATTAAAGAGAACCTTTCCCCGTTAGAAGATAGCTTTATAATTTAAGTTTTGGGATTAATATTTTAAAAAATTAACCTTTTAAAATATATTAAATTGATGTAAAAGATGTACTTTTAAATTACTCAATGAGATATTAGTTTGATGGTGGGAAAAATTAACTTTAGGACACCCTACTATAAATATGTGTTCGACAAGAAAAAAAATTAAAGAGTACAAGAATTTAGGCTGGTTGAATATTCATTAAATTTTGCTCTTCAAATTGAAAAATGATTGGTATACATACAATTCAATATATTTTTCTGATACTCATTTTGATTTAGTTATTAAAATATAATAACCAAATTATACTAATTCAATTAATTCCTATATCTTGTATATATAATTTTTAAATCTATTTATTTTTAATTTTTGACTAAAATAATAATTTTATATTAAATTTATTGTGTAATATGTTCAATCAGAATTTATACCAATAAGTGTCCTTTGGAATTTATATAAAGACTAGGCATTTCAATAAAAGACCAGCAATAAAGTCATTTCCAACCATGTCCTCCTCCTCTAAAAAAATCAGAACCACAGGAATCAGTTGTCCATAAAAAAGACATATGCTTTAAAATGTCATGACAATTGCTTGACGGCTTGACCTCCGAGCCCCACATTGCAACCGACCAAATCAATCTCTTTCCGTCCCCTAGCTACTTTTATCCCCCAACTTCATCTCTATAAATTCACCACCTAGGGTTTGCAGATGCCACACCACTCACTCTTTTCTCTTTTCTCAAATCCTTTCTTCCTTCTCTTTCTTCTCTTTCTATTTCCTTGCTTATTATTTTCATTAATATTAACTTGTATTTTTTAGGCTTATAATGGCCAAGTTTCAGAATCTAAGGTTCATAACAGAGGTTGCCCCGCCGCTGTTCATCTCCATGGCAAAGCGTCGGTCCACCAAAATGCTGCTGGCAACCATTGCCGAGGAAGAAAAAGATAATCTCAGCGAGGTTGTCGATGAAACCCTTTGCTCAACAATTAATCGATGTTGTGTCTGTCGAGACAAATAGAGGCATCTTTCCTTCTAAAGTAGATGTTAAAGAAGAAAAATAAAAGAATGGTGTGACATTCTCTTGGTCATGGGTTCGGTGGCTAAATTTTAATGAATAAGTAGACGAGGGAGAGACAACAGTTTTGCTATGTACACCATTGGCATTGTGTTGTTTTTGCCTTGCTTACATTGTTTTCCGAATTTTTACTATTAAGGAAAACGTATCAATCTCTGTTGTTTGCTTTTGTGTTTCTCCAAATAATAAAGATTGATTCCATTAATTACGTACTTAGCTATTTAGCCAGACAAGGTATTGGCGAGTTATTCAAGCTTGGCTCTTGTTTCTTCTAAGCCCATTTGGCCTCCCAATATATACCAAAAAACTGATATTTGCTTGACAAAAATAGAGAAATTGTCAAATAGAGGAAAGAAAATAGAGGGTACATGGGGCAAGAAGCTTGCATGATTTCATATAATTCGTATACAGAAATTTTCATCTCCCAAACATGCAAAAATATGTTAGCATTAACATTATAACTGTTCTTTTAAAATAAAAAAAAATTTATGTATCTATAACTATTTTTAATAATTAATAACTTGAACCTATATTCGAAATCTTAAATTTAAATTCAGAATTGATGAAAAAATTTAGGAACAAAAACACCTCCTTGATTGGACTAGAAGCAATTACAATTTTATTATGCATATTGTTATGATAAATTATCCTTTACTATATGATCCATTATTATTATTATTATTATTATTATTATTATATTAAAAAACTAGCATCTGTAACTTATACGGTAAGGGCCTATACCTTCTGGAAACCCTTCAGAAGTCCTTTAGCCCTTCAACTTATAAGTTAGGTTTTTCACCCATTAACTTATTAAATATAAGGGTTTTAGCCCCTAAAGTAAACTTTTTGACTTTGGCTGTTACTCTTGTAGTCACTTTACTACTTTTGGATTAATTTTTCTTATTTGACAATAGGTTCTTAACATTCCTTAAATATTATACTTAAGTCCCATTATGTAAAATGCTAACATTTTTAATTGTTCCAAGAAACCATATGACAACTTACAAATTCCAAAATGTTGTTAGGAAGCACAACGCTTGAAATAATACATCAATGTAGAGAATACATGAAAAGGTACTACAAATTGAGAAAACCTATAAACACTACAAAGAAGGGGAATTTGCGAACATTGAAGAAAGGTTAGCTGCAATGTTGGATGAAGGAGAATTGTCAACATCCAAGGCCATGGAGGAGGAAACAATCATAGAAAACAATAATGAAGAAAATATCTCAAAAGATAACCACTATGATGATAGCTACTATTGGGAGAACATGTTAGGTGAGGAGTGGCACAACATAGAAAATGTAATGGAAAAGTAAAAGTTACAGAGAGAATCTTATCATAAAGTAGATAGCCATATAATTGCACTATTCTAAGAGTGTATTGAAGTCTGGATTTGAAATTTGAATAATTATATTGAAGTCTTATTTTTTAGAAAACTAAGTGTGAAGTTCGAATTTGAATTATGCCCCGATTGCCTATAAAAAGGCATGAACCGCATCCTGTAAATCAAGGTGCTAGTTAAAGCGGAAGTCAAAGTGAGTTTGTTGAAGAGTCTGCTTTAAGAGTCTTGAGTGTGTAAAAAACTAAGTGTGTGTACAGATCTAGTTTCCCAATTTTTGTAAAAACTTCTAGTAATTTTTTTGTTTCTTTATACTTTTGCAAATACATAATAAAATAAATCTAGGGTGAAATTTAATACTCCTTCAATATCTTTGATACTACTAGAACTACTGTTATCATTGAAAAATAACTCAAAAAAGAAATATATCAGAGTAATCAAAATTTTATTAATGAATAAGAGAAAGTATAGATTTTATTAATGAATAAGAGAAAGTATAGAAATTGGAATACAATGTTAGGATCAAAGAGAGTTTTTTAGATAATCCCTAACTATATTTTCAAAGGTTTTTAAAACTCTTTGCATAGAAATCCTTACTTATCAAAGATCCTCATAAGTCTTAACAATAATTTAAATTCAAGTCTCCTAAGAGTCCTGTATGGTTGGGGATTCATTTTGAATCACATGATCCTGATTTTCCTTTGAGTTTGAATTATGGGTATAACAACTACCATGCTTAAATTCTTTAGATTTGAGATCTAATTGACAACAATTTATATTTGTATCCCAAAGTGCCATTTTGGAATTCTTACTTAAAGGACTTAGTAGTAATTTTTCCCTCTTGCCTTTTAACAGTGGTTTAACGAAAGGGTTTTTCCCTTGTAAGCTTTATAGTTAAGGAGTCAGAACTCTCAAGTTTTAGGTTTAGGGGGGAATGCCCTTAAAGATAACAAGTTTAGGGGTGTTTTAGGGGTTTTCCCTATAAAGAAGTGGATATTTTTTTTTATTATAGAGCCAAATCTAGGGGGGGACAAGAGCAATTTAAAAAAAAAAAAAAAAGGGAAGAAGAAGAAAGAGAAAGAAACCCAAACGTACACAAGTAACCCAACCGAAAGATTCCAAGAGAAGAGAAAAGGGCCCAAATATTCAGAACATAAGGTTTGATCATTGGGCCTGAAATTTTTTCTTGAGTTCCAGGAGGCAGCAAAACATTTTGTACTGGTCCGGCAGCGACTTGGACACACTCTCCCTCTCCATGCAACGTTTGGTCCAACTCACCAGCTTTGGGCACTCTGCCACGATGTTGAAGTTCCCACACGTCTCCATGACATAGAACCAACTATAGAAAGGAATCAACGCCACATCCACAATCCCGAAGCTCTCTCCGCTGAAGTACGACTTCTCCCCGAGCTCTCCTTCTAGTACCTTGAAGCACTCGATCAATTCTTTCTTTGCCGCTTCTTAGATCTCCCATGTTGCTCCCCACACCAACTCCCCGATTGCGTATATCTGCAAGGTGCAGGGTGATTAGCAAGGTTCAATTCAGCGAACAAATCATATCCTCTTTGAAAAAAATGGAGATAAAAGTTGAATGAGGGAAAACAGATGTTGTATGGCATTTGTTTGTTAACATACCTGACTGGGGTTTTTGTGTTTCTGGTTAATCTGTAGTGTGTGAGAAGGTGTGCATTTCATATCGAGGTATGTATCCCATTTTGGATGTTGGACAAAGTTAATCCTTTTTTCTGACAAAATCACGCGGACATGGGAGGAACTGTTGAAATGCAAAGCAGAAATGACTCACCTTTTTGTCGACATAATCAACCCAGAACCTGGCATTGGCTCAAGCATAAGGGTCAGAAGGAAGCAAGGGAGACTTGTGCCTCCAGACCTCATCGATGTACTGAACTGTGATGAGTGATTCATAAATGGGTCTTCCCTTATGGATCAAGACTGGGATTTGCTTATGAACAGGGTTCATCTTCAGAAGCAGAGGGCTCTTGTTGCTTAAATCCTCTTCAATCAGCTTATAGTCCAGTCCCTTCTCCGCCAATGTTATCCTCACCCTCATCCCGAATGGGCTCGACCATAAATTCAGCAAGATCAAGTCGTCTGCCATTGCCACACAACTAAGTTAGCCTGAAGCTGAAACAAGTAAGTTGCCTTGGTTTCGTTCTGTTTACTTTTGATATTGAATATTGAATTTTGGTTATATATAAAGCAAGTTGAGTGGTTACGCTGGATGTTGTGGAATTCTCTATAGTTCATCTAGGGTCTTCTGGGGCTTCCTAGTCCCCTTGGTGCTTCCGTCAGATTTGACAACTCTTTTCTCGACATTATTTTTCATCTTTATCCAAATCGAATTTTGGCACATATTTCTTCCAAACATACTAGATATGGGCCCTATTTTGATAGGAACTCTCCTCTCTTTACCAACCTTACCCGCTCCTTTGTTGGTGTTGCTTTTTTTTTTTTTAATCTTTGTTCTTTCTTTATTAGGGTTAATAGTAGATTAGTAGTTAGTTAACCCTAGGGATTCTTCGTTATCAATTGCCTTTGGACGTGTTTGATTCTCTACTTAATGTTCGAAATGTTTAATAGTAAAGGTGAAACTTCTAAATGCTTCCTCGTTTTTCTTCTTTTTTATTTTTTATTATTATTTTTTTTATCTTCTTTTTTTTTTTTTTTAAATTTGGCTTCTTAAGCCGAGAGGAAAAATGTGTTCTTCCCCACCTTTGTAAGTAATATTTCAAAATTTGAAAAATGAACTTTCTAAATGCTTTTCACATTAGCTTGGCTAAGCTAAGTTTGATTCTAGTCTTGACATAACTGTTTGGATCAACTCATGAACTATTAAACTTTTGGCATGCAAAGGTCCTGAATTTGAGATAAAAATTTTCAGATTTGAGTCCATCTTTTGTAATTAACTCTGGAAATCTTATGGTGTGTAGGGAAAAAAAAACTGTACGATTAGATCTTTATATCGGAATTGGAGAATTTAGAAGGAATTCCTTATGATCTAGTCTCCAGAATTTAAGCTTTAGCATACTATTGGGTTTGAAAAATGATTAATAATGTTATATTGGGTAAAGTGCACTTTTCCAATGTGGTTAGGAGCTCGTGTGCTTTGCCCCTGACTTCTGAAAAAGGGACAAATAAATTTTTAATCTCAAGCCAGTTTGATTAAATTTATTTTAATATCTGATTTAAAGCATTTTAGCTTAAATGATCTCGAACTTGGACCATACTATTGCTCTACAATTAGTCAATATCTTCATTATCTTGGGAGTTGGAGTTAAAGGTTTGGGTTTTGAGACATGGTATGGAGGAGAATTCTCACCTGTTCTATAATTAATCATCATTGTCAATGCCAATGTGGATTTCTTTCTATTTTTAATTGAATCTATCCATTTCGTATTCCAACAACAAAGAATAGATGCAAGGGAAGTTATAACATTTGGACTCAAATTGGCATGAGAACAGTTAGGAACAACAAAGAAAATTGTTCAAAATTTAAAGCAATAGCTAATATTGATCCAAAAATAGAAATACTTCAAGTTCTAACTAATATGTCTTAAATTTAGGATAAAATGATTATAACGATTTGGTTGAAAATGGATTAGTTTGTTGCGAAGTCTATAAAAGGGCTTTTTGATGTTCACATTTCTCATACAAACTGCCTTATCCAAATTGTCAAGTTCCTTAATCATGGATTTGAAGTTGACCCTCTCTTGCATCCTTCTATCGTGCTTATTTCCTTTGATAATAGCTGACGATGTGAAAGTTACAATTAAAGGAGCAACCCTCATAGCTAGAACTGATGATAATTTTGTCTGTGCAACATTAGATTGGTGGCCCTCTGAAAAATGTGACTACAATCAATGCCCTTGGGGAGAAGCTGGCCTTTTCAACCTAGTATTTCTATTATTTTTCACTTCTCAAATCCCCTCATTCATTCATACATACATGACACATGCATGTTTGTATGCGTGTGTCATTTAGCTTGTCACAAGAAAACTAACTTTTTCTTTTATATAATTTTAGGATTTAAACAACAAAATTCTATCAAGTGCTATAAAAGGTGAGTTTTAAAGCTTTTCATTTGCAAATTGAATTTGGTTCAGATATCTAGCTTGTTCAATTATTGTCAGCTGGTTTATTTTATATGTTCATAAGAACTTAGCTCTAATGGATAAATTTCCAGCATTCAATCCCTTGAGACTTAGAGTTGGAGGCTCATTACAAGACCAACTGGTGTACAAAGTAGGAAACTCAATCAAGAAATGTCCTGCTTTTAAGAAGAGAAATAATGGTTTATTTGGGTTTACTAGAGGGTGCCTCCAGATGAAGGGATGGGATCAACTCAACAACTTGTTTAACCAAACAGAGTATTGTATTTTGTGTTTACCTTTAATTAAGCTCACACTTCTCCTGAATTTAATTTAACCTTTTATCTATAACTAAAAAAATGTGTATCCTGATAATCTTTTCAGTGCTTTGATAACATTTGGGTTGAATGCCCTTTATGGAAGGAAAGAGTCTCAAGTTGAGAAGGGTCTTTGGGTGGGCGATTGGAACTCGCAGAATGCCTGGGATCTCATGGCATACACTGTCTCAAAAGGATACAATATTGATTCATATGAATTTGGTAATTAAGATTGTCAATAACAGAAACACTTTCCTTAGTTCAAGACATTGATGTGCACTCATATCATAAATAAAATCATGCATAATATGATGAATTATGATTTTTCAGGAAATGAGCTTTGTGGATCAGGAATTGTTGCAAGGGTGGAGGCTGATCAATATGGTAAAGATTTGATAGCACTCAAAAATCTTGTGAAGGAACTCTACCCAAATGCTAATACCCAACCAAAGGTTCTTGGTCCTGGTGGCTTTTTCGACCAGAAATGGTTTGCCAAATTCCTTGAGGTCACTGGCCCTGGTGTAGTTGACGGACTAACCCACCATATCTATAACCTTGGAGCCGGTAAACATTCTCTTCTTAAAATCATTGTATGTTAATTTTAATGCAAATTTGCAAAGTTAAGTCTTTGGATTAATAGAACTTTTGTACTTGTGTATGGGCAGGTGTTGATTCAACTGTCATTGA